TATATATATATATATATAGTGAACAATCTGCTATCTTGCAAGTTCTCCGTTCTCCTACTTAAAATCATTGCAGGATCTGAAGTTGTCATCATACGTTCATGTCCACTGTGAGAGATATAATCTGATAAAAAATAAAAATTCAGAAATCACAATGTAGGATTTTTTGTAACTGTTTATTTGTAGGATGCAGCTGCAAATAAGTATTTGAACACCTGAAAAAATCAATATTAATATCTAGTACAGTAGCCTTTGTGTCACGCATCGCAGGAGTGATTTTGGCCCACTCCTCCACACAGATCTTCTCTAGATGAGTCAGGTTTCTGGGCTATTGCTGAGAAACACAGAGTTTGAGTTCCCTCCAAAGATTCTCTATTGGATTTAGGTCTGGAGACTGGCTAGGGCACGCCAGAACCTTGATATGCTTCATCCAGAGCCCCTCCCTGGTTGTCCTGGCTGTGTGCTTCGGGTCATTGTCATGTTGGAAGACCCAACCTCGACCCATCTTCAGTACTCTAAATAATGGAAGGAGGTTGTTCCCCAAAATCTGTATCATAGAAATAAATAGTTAAAAAATAATATATTGTAATTTCTGGATTTTTTTTTTTGTTTGTTTATATCTCTCACATTGGACATGCACCTGCAGTGATAATTTCAGAGCCCTTCATGATTTTTAAGTGGGAGAACTTGCAAAATAGCAGGGTGTTCAAATACTTATGTTCCTCACTGCATATATATTCGTTTTTTTACGCACATACTGCAGAAGTGGCCACAGATATTCTGGAATTTTTTTAAATACAATAAAAAAAATTCAACATTTGCTTCTTCCCTTTGTTCTTCAGCAACCTGGGTGGGCGGGGGCTACATCAACGGAACAGCAGAGTATGTCTATCTACCAGATTATGGTCTGGCCTGGGCTCAGGCACCGTTTGGTTATGCGCTCAGCTTGGTATTAGGTGAGTCACTGCTGATTTATGTTCATTTGCAAGTCTGGTGAACCCTGAGAATAAAATAAATATAAACCAGAAAAAGAACCTAAAAAGTTAGACCTTATACAATATAATCATCACTTTAGAAACACAAGTCTGTGTTGGACTAAACATGTTTTCTGGGTTGTAAATGCAGTTCTGTGTTTCTTCTAACATCTTTCAGGTGGCCTTTTCTTTGCCAAGCCAATGCGATCACGTGGATATGTCACAATGCTGGACCCTTTCCAGCAGCTTTATGGTAAAAGGATGGGGGGATTGCTTTTCATTCCTGCACTCATGGGAGAAATCTTCTGGTCTGCAGCCATCCTGTCTGCCTTGGGTGGGTGCCCCCTGTATTTGATCTACTCTTTAAATTCCTTTCTACAGAATTAAGTTTTACATTTTTATTTAACCCTGGTTATGCTGCCATGCAGGTGCCACTCTCAGTGTGATCGTGGACATAAACATCAACATGTCTGTGGTGATTTCAGCGCTCATAGCTATCTTTTACACACTGGTTGGAGGACTGTACTCTGTCGCATACACAGATGTCGTCCAGCTCTTCTGCATATTTTTGGGTTTGGTGAGTAGCCTTTGACTTAGCCTATCTAATATATAAATATGCTATAATCTAAACTAGGCTATTGTTGCTCCGGCTGTATTTTCAGATTAGGAATAAGAAAAAACTTCATTATCAAGATGTGTTTTATGCTCACAAGGAGTTAATTTTGGCGGTTGCTGCTAAATGTAGACAAACATACAGTTAACATTAATACATCTGAAAATATATAATGTTGATTTAAACAAAAATTACAACAAATCTACTTTATGCAATGGACAAACACCATTAAGGTATAAAAACATAAAATATATTAGCATGTGCTGAAATGTTGGTATTATTTACAAGGGAAAAACTTATATGGAATCTGGGCCTTGTTAATTAAGTCAGCTGTGGATGAGAAGAAGATGGATTTATGGCAAAAGGATAAAGTCCAGAACAGTTTGTGTCCAGTGTGGGAGAGGTACACTGCAATCTTTCCCTCTTGCCTCTGAGTCCTGGAGGAGTTCCTGAAGACAAGAAAGGTTGCAGCCAAGCAATCTCTCTACAGAGCAAAAGACACATTGTCCTGCAGGACTGGCTTGTATTTAGTTCTACAGTATGAATATTCTTATCAATGTGGAACTACTTCAATGCTCCTGCTGCAGATAAAACAAATTTTCCTGACACCAACACCCCCATAATCTGTGAGGGAGGTGAGTTTATGATCAAAGACTCTGTTAACTTCTACAAAACGTAGGTTTCTGCATGTTTGCAAAACAAAATGCAAAAGTTAGTTTTCATCTGAGCAACACCTTCTTCCACATGTTTGCAGTTTCTCCTATGGCAAACTTTACAAATCAATACACATGGCTTTCTTTAAAAATAATCTATTTCTCCACAACTATTTTACATACTACACAAAATTATGAAATGCTAAGTTGGTAATGTTATGTGAGCAGACTATGTTGTACTTGGTCTTCATCATTCTGTTTGTTTACAAAGATTGCAAAGCTCTGAGGCTTTTACAGAACAGTTGAATTCTGTTTACAAATTGTTCACCATCGGCTGCACAGTCTTGTATTAAGGGTTATCAACAAGAATTAATACAAATGCACAGCATTCTTTTCCGATTTGTATTTATAATGCATTTAAAAAATCTATTTTTATATTTCACTTATTTTATTTATGTTGTCCTTTAACATAATAATTATGTTATAAATGTCTTTGGCTGTATCTCAACATCAGGTTGAAGGATGTAAATAATTCAGCATAAGATTGTAGCTATATCTGAAATAAAGCACGTTTAAATCCTTATTTTTCTCCTGTTATTCAGTGGATCAGTGTGCCTTTTGCCCTTTCCAATCCTGCTGTGTCAGACATCGGTCTTTCCGCCAAGGAAGAAATCTATCAGTCCCCTTGGCTGGGTAACATTAAACCTGAAGACAATTGGCTGTGGGCAGACAACTTCTTTTTGCTGGTAAGCTATAGCTTTTATGAAAGGATCCATCATTAAACACTGTATTGCAAACAGTTGACTTATGGAGAAAAATATGTTTTGAAGGCAGCGCATTTGTTTTCAGCGCTCACTTCTTCAGAGCTGACATGAGTTATTTAGACTGCTGAATGTGATTCATTGGGTTGAAGTCTGTATTTACTTTGCGTGTGTTTCCATCTTCAGATGTTGGGAGGGATTCCCTGGCAGGTCTACTTTCAACGAGTTCTCTCTGCCTCTTCAGCTACCTATGCTCAAGTTCTCTCTTTCATAGCTGCCTTTGGCTGCTTGGTCATGGCTGTTCCTTCTGTCCTCATCGGAGCTATTGGGGCTTCCACGGGTAAATTTACACACTCCTACAGGCACACAAGTTTACATTTCTACCAATATTAGGACTTCACATTGATGAAAAGTGTTTTAGTTACTGCATTTAATCCTATTCCTGGCATTCAGGAAAGTTTGTTTATAATTTGTTTTATATAATATATTATATTTATACTAGCAAAATCAAGTATTGCTTTCATGAATTAATTTCTGCAAAAAACTATTAAACACACCGCGATCAATTAAATTAAGTTCAGTTCAGTTTATTTATATAGCGCCAATTCACAACACACGTCATCTCAAGGCACTATACAGTTCACCAGAGTCAAATTGATTCAAAGTTTTCTAAGGAAAACCAGTTGATTGCATCGACTCATTGACTCGAAGGCAATCCCTCACACTAAACATGCTTGTAGCTACAGTGGAGAGGAAAAACTCCCTTTTAACAGGAAGAAACCTCCAGCAAAATCGGGCTCAGTGTGAGTGGCCCTCTGCCGAGGCTGACTGGGGTTAAAGGAGACAAAAGAGTTCCCATATCTTAGAACAAGTTGTTTATAAATGAATAGGTGGCAGTGCTCACTATAAAATTGTTTTTGTGTATGCACCTTTACTGGTAATTACACAGCCAAACGAGACTTGTCAGTCTTTTGGGGTTTACCTGTATATAAATAAATACATGTTGTTGGTGGAGGAGGAGTATTAAACAAACAAAAATTACCGTAGATCATTGTAGTTGCAGTTTGGTGTTGAAAAGGAGGACAATCCATGTTTTTTTCCCCAGTGAGAGTCAAGGGAACTTATAAAAAATAAAAACAGAGAACATATAAATGCACAGTGTTTATTTTTTCTGCATTTTTATATGCAAAAAAAAGCTAGCATGTTATGTGTTTTATTCTTTTTTGATATAGTTGACTAATGCAATGCAAACTATTTTTTTAAGAGAAAAGGTAGTTATAATCAGTTTGGCTTTTAGTTTCGGATAAGTTTGGCTTGCATTTGTCACAATGGTGCTGGAGGTTTGACAGGAGCCAAATGCAGACTGAAGCTGAAGGAGTTTTCTTGAAGTTTAACTAAACAAAAGTTCAACCGAAGAAAAAATCCAAAAAATACTGAAGGCCAGGAATACTCAAAACAAGGGGCCAAAGAAATGACGAACCAGCCAAGAGTGACTGAACAGGATGAGATTATATGGGAGAGAGAAACAAAAACCAGGCTACTGTAATTAGCAGATTGGGAGCAGGTGTGAACAGAGGCAAGAAAGGAGCGAGGGAAAAGGAGACTGACACAAGAGGGCAAACAGGAAATATCAAAGAACTTAAATAGAATCAAAAATCTGTAGAACACCAATGAAAACTCAAAATAAAACTTGAACAAAACCTAAAACCATGACAGCATTTGTATTCAGAACCTTTTACTCTGATGCACTTTGATAAAATCCAGTGTAGAAAATTGCCATTTAAAACCCTAAAGCACTAAATTCACTATACAAATCTGTAATTGCATCTCAGTAAATTGCAGTAGTTCTATAAAGGATTTGGAAGTTTATTGGGGAACAAATAGGTTAATAAAATATATAGAGCACAGCAGATAGTTGAGAGATAAGTGTGTGGACTTAAGCTGAAGACATCAGGCATCCCATCACCTGAAAATGAAAATGCTATAGCACAACTGCAAATCTGCAAAGACATGGCCTTCCACCTAAACTGACAGGACGGGCAAAGATACAGTAGACTCAATAAGGAAGGCAATCATAAGGTTCATTTTAACTCTGGAAGAGCTGCAGAGATTCTCAGCTCAGGTGGAAGAATTTGTCCAAAGGACTGTTAACATCTGTACTTTCCATGATTCTAGTCCTTAAAGAAATCTAGAAAAGAGGAGGGTGTTATCTCAAGAAGGCAAAAAGAGATCATGTTTATCTAGAATGCAACATATCTTTACCATGAATGGTGAGTTGTAGCAACATCGTATTTTGGGGATGCTTTTCTTCCATAACAGCGGATGTATGGAATTAAATAAGAAGCAATTTTTGAATAAAGACTCTTAGAGGCTGCAAACATTGACTTTTGGATGTAGGTTCACAACTTCAGCTTAATAATAGCTGTAAACATACAGTCAGAGCTACATTAAAATAAACAATAGCAGCAAAAGGTCATCATCATCTTCTGCGTCTCTGGGACTAGGTAGTGACGTAAGGAGACGCTTTGCTTTATGTACCGGTAGTTCTATAACTATAGAATGTTAAAAAAAGAAATGCAGTTGTGATTTTCTTCAACTGAGAAAAGGTTTGATGAATAAAAGGCCTTTCCTAAAACATTCAAAGATCAGTCGCTCATCATGAAGAAATCTTTCCACAGCTGAGAATATTGCTCATTGTCTTATCTGCATCTGTTCAGAACTCATTAAATCAGACATTTATCCACAATTCATCTCCGTACATGAAGACATAAAGTGATCCAGTAATGAAACTTCATAAGTCCAAGAGTCAGATCCTTTATTCAAACCAGAGAGTGCGATCAAACACAGTGCAATGTCCATTTGGGTTGTTTACATCCAAGCAGCTTTCTTTATTTCCCAGTCGGATGTTTTTCATGCCGTTTCATACAGCGTCTGGAGGATAACCACCAGACGGGTCCTGAGATAGTGTGCGCAGAAGAGAGCCATCAGACCGTGCAGATTTTTTTAAATATTACATCTGAAGAACAGCTAATTAGTTTGGTTCTTCTGTAGATTTTTCATGTGTAACTGCTGTTAAACAGTCACTGCTTATGAGTATCCAGGGATTGGAGAGGAAGACATAGATCATGGAGCTAAAGGGAAGTGAAAAAGTGATGAAAACATAGAATTTTTTCAGAAAAATTAGAGATTAGGAAGCACATTTGTTCATTCGTTGTAATGCTGGCAAGTCCGGTGGAGGGAAAAAGAAACACATAGAGGAAGATAGGAGCCATCTGAATAAAGAAGCAGTGGATCGGTCTGTGCAACCTTAGATCCTTGAGAGCAGAAATGTCAATACTTTATACACTTTGTACAGCTTTATCCCAGACAGTTGTATTCTAAATGTCATTTTATTGCACTACTGCAATTTTCTAGCAGAGAGTCAAAGGCTCAAACAACAAAAGGCACTAAAAGCACTGGCTGTATCAAAAGCCAATAATTAAAAGTGAAATAAATAGTTCAGTACAATAGGGAAGGATGTGGTAAGTGCCCACAATACTAACAGCTGCTTTAATGATCATGATGCCACTTTATTTGATTTAGCCCCAATCCCATAGATTATGTAAAGAGTATTCATCAAAACAATTGAGAAGATAGCAACACCAGGCCCATATAAGGAGCAGAGGGTTAGTGCCTGCATCCCATGCTACTGTGATACTGTATTAGTGCAAATCGAGTCTGGGGTCAGGACAAGCTTAGTTAAAATAGACCTTATTGTGTTCATAGCTTAGACCACCATCTAGATTATCTTCTAGCAATGATACAAATCCCCCAAAATAAATCTTATTGAATATTATATTAGCCTATTAATTTCTTCTCTTGTCATTTTTGCTTAAATTTGAAACATATCAAATAGACATTTTAATGTTTTTTTTTTTTGTTTTTTGAGGTCAGTTTAGTGCAGAAATATTACTTTTTACCAGATTCAAATGGGGAAAGTCATCTGGAGACTACCCTGCAGTTCAGAGTCTCAATGAGTGATTTTCTCGCTGCATGAATGTTTTTAACTTTTAAGGTAGAAAGGTAGAAATTCATGATACCTTCAATAATGGATCAAAAACATTTCTTAGATTACTTAGAATAGCTTGGAATCAAAACAATATTCAATTATTTATTCAGAAAATATGTAGTTTAAACTTATCTATGTATCTCAAGTTACATAGTATTTTCCACATTAATAAATAGTAATTTTACCACTTTTTTATGTATAAGATTTGTGTCCCTTTAGGGTTTTCATAAAGGCTTCAGTCCAGCTGTTCGTATTTACAGTACATGATTCTGTGTGTCTGATGTTCATAGATTTCAGCTCTAAATGTTATAGGTGGAAAATTAATTAGCAGTAAATGTTCTGCAGGTGGCTCTTCTTTTTAGTCATAGACGCTCATAAGGAAACGGAAATGCCCACCCTGAATCTTCCCTATTTTCTAGAAAATAGAAACAATACAACTAGTACCACCTTAACAAACATCTCTACCCCCCACAAAATTTATTTCCAGTTACCCCTTTTTTCTCCAAAACAACAATATTTGAATAGCTCAATAAGTCCTTTCAATGAATTTGTGCAAATTCTAATGCATCGTTAAAAAACATTTGGCATCTCTTGAAGTTCTTTTAGCATTTTAAGTGTAAAAATTGGTTACTTTTTTTCTTATTTCTTGTTCATCTTTGTTTTTATTTTTATCCTCCTTTCTAAACTCATTGCATTGATAATCTCTGCTGTATTTCCAAAGCTCAAAGCTCTTTTGTTTTTTTTCTCTGGCTAAAACATATATCCACGGGGAGGCTCATAATCAGACTTAATGGTGAAACCTTTTGTCCTTAAAAGCAAAACAAAACAGAATAAAATCAGAATAAAAATTGGAAAACATTTTGTTCACAGCAAGATCTTTGATTAACATTTCCAACCCTTTTTTTTCAGACTGGAACCAAACTACCTATGGCTCCCTTGCACCGAAGGACAAGGATGAATCTGACATGATCCTTCCCATAGTGCTTCAGCACCTCTGCCCACCCTATATCTCCTTCTTTGGACTGGGAGCGGTGTCCGCAGCAGTGATGTCATCAGCAGACTCGTCCATACTTTCAGCCAGCTCCATGTTTGCCAGGAACATCTATCAGCTCGCCTTTCGGCAGTCGGTAAGAGCACTAAAATGTATTACTAGCATGCAAAGAGTGGCTCATTCCATTTGTAAATTCAAGCATTATTACAGTCAGAAAGAAAACAACGGCAATTGCTTTTCTTTCTCTTCCAGGCTTCTGATACTGAGATCGTTTGGGTGATGCGGATCACCATCTTTGTGTTTGGAGCTCTTGCTACAGCAATGGCACTATTAACCGGATCTGTATACGGCCTTTGGTACTTAAGCTCTGACCTCGTCTACGTTATAATCTTCCCCCAGCTTCTCAGTGTTTTGTTCGTCAAAGGCACCAACACATATGGCTCTGTAGCGGCCTATATCTTTGGACTCTTGTTGCGTATTGGTGGAGGGGAGCCTTACCTAAAACTGCCTCCCTTCATCTACTACCCTGGCTGGGTGACAGTGGAAAGGGTTCACCACCTCACCGGAGATGTAGAGTTCTTCGTTCAGCAGAGGTTCCCCTTCAAGTCTGTCTCCATGGTGGCATCTTTCTTAGCAAATGTGGCTTTCTCCTACCTGACCAAGTACTTATTCGAAAGCGGCATGCTGTCTCACAAGTACGACTTCCTGGATGCTGTCGTTTCCAAGCATAGCAAGGAGATTATGGACAAGACCACGCTGGTAAGCAATCATGATAACATTATTTTATCGGAGATGGCACCCGTCAGACAAGCTCTGGGTGCTACGATTGCTGGGACTTTCACCAACACCGAGGTTCTAAGCGACGATGGTGAGTCAAGTCCGGAGTCTTTTCACAGTGACAACTAGATGCCAAAACGCACAAAAGAAAACTTGAAACAAGGAATGTGAAAGGGAAGGAAAAGAATCAAAGAGGCATCAGCATCCTTCAGGAAATGTGTTACTGCCACACTGTGAGCCACATAAGCAGAAACCTTCTGCGGCTTCCAAGTGACTCTACAAGTATGTTGGTGAATAGGTGCCTCCTCCATTTGTTTATATTTCCTCTCTATAAACACATCCTTAAATTGTCTGTACAAAGCTCACAGTTATTTTTCTGACCATGGCTCTGTGAATTTACAACCATTTTAATTTAATGGCTGCTACTGTGGTCAAAAGTAGGGATAAAGGGAAATGGTTTTTCAAGCGTAGAGAAAAGAATCGCGTCCTGGTCTTGAGTACAGTGCTATAGAGCTAAGAAGCATTGTTTATTCCTGGTTGTCTAAGCTCAGGTTATGTATGTGGATGCAAATACAGTGCTTTGTAAATTAAGTTATTACCCTTGAACTTTTCCAAGTTTTGATGCATAACACAAAAACATCAGTGTATAAGAAGATCTTTCATAGGAAGATTTTGAGCCACAGGATGTGGCTGGACAGGATTGAAAATGATCTCTCCAGCCATCCATCCATGTTCTTTTTTTAATTTATCCAACTATTTAAGTGCAAAGTTGTGGGCCTTTACTTGTAGGTTTTGCCAACTTAAAGCGTGGCATACATTTGAACTTAGCCTGCTCCATAATTAAGAGAGCTACATTTCCATAGTTGTGTGAAGAATGTCTGAACAAGTTATTTTTACGAAATCACCTGGGTCAGATTGAATGGAAAACATCTATGAACAACTTTCAGTGTTGTTGTGTCCTTGGGCAAGACACTTCACCCCCCGCATTGCCTACTGGTAGTCGAAGGGACTGTTGGTGCCAGTGTACAGCAGCCTTGCTTCTGTCAGTGAGCCCTTAGGCAGCTGTGGCTACAATGTAGTTTACCACCATCAGTGTGTGAGTGTGTGCGTAAATGACTGAAAGTAGTGTAAAGCGCTTTGGTCAAGTCTTCTCACTCGAAAAAAGCACTCTATAAGTACAGGCCATTTACCAAGTTTTTTTATTATCCCATTTAGAGATTCCTATGTAGCTTAAGCTCTGGTATTTGGCTGAACCGCTTAAAATATTAAAACAAACATCTTAATCATTTCACAGTTCTGACCATGTTCTGACCACGGCTCTGACCATGTGGATAGAGTCTCATAATACAACATTTTTCAGTTCTTTTTTTAAATTTTTCTCCTACTTTTTCATCTATTGTGGGCTCCTACACGTACACAATATGATATTCAACAAACTTTCTTAACCTCACTAAATGACTGTAATTATTTCGATAAAGCCCCAACAATGCCATATTAGGGTATAACTTCCCATGCTTGTCGACAGGTGTTCATAAAAAAAATGGCATAACCATATTTCAAAACCAAAAAGAAAACTTTACTGGTTAGGAGACGCTGCTGACTGAGAGCTGAACAGCAGCGTTAAAGGACCAGTAAAACCAAGCATGGGGGAATTAATCACAAGAGCCATAAATGCTGTTGTTGCACTGTTACAAAAATAAAAATAGAATAATACCAATAATTTGATCTAAAAAAAATCTTTAAAACTACTGGTGGAGGCCAAAGGTGCCAATATGATTAAGGCCTAAATGCTTAATATGACAGAACTTTCTGCTAAATCTCCTTTTAATCCATACTGACATATCTGGTGTACATCAGACCACGTCTGTCATCCCTTTATCACTCTCTCCATTCCATCAATGCATAAACACAAATATGTTAACGGCAAAACTCTCATTTTACAAAATCAGATACACCCAAACCCAAACATTAAACATTTAGTGTAATAAGAAAGCCAAGGTGGCGCTTTATGAAGTGAACTGAATGCATGTCTTACCAAGCAGCTGACCCTCTTTCTACACTTTCTATCCATCTTCTGTTATTTCAATAGTAGCTTCATCTCACATAGAGCTCACTGACTCTTCTTTGTTTTGACAAAATGGCAACAAATTAAACCAGTGTCACCTGGATATCAACACGCCAGCTGCAGGTGTCGTGAGATTTCAGTCATCAGCGGATAAAAATGATAATTGCTGAGTTGCATATATATGTAATGATGTAGCCTAATACAATGGACAATTGCTTCAACGTAGAAAAAAAAATTGATTTGATGAAACAATTGTGAACGTTACATTTTCTCTTAACAATTTAAAAACAAATTTGTTTTTCTGAATGCTTCTTGCATGAGGCCTAATGTCCTGCTGGAAGGTGAACTCTCTAAACAAGTCTAAAATCTTTCAATCTTTCAATCTTTCTCTCTAAGCCAGTCAGCCTCTTGACAGGTTTATACGGATTGCTCCATATCTAGATCCATTCATGTTCCCATCTATTCATGAACGATGCCAGTTTTTCTGAACAAAAACGCTTCCACAGCTTGTTTTTGCTGCACTTTATTTTTACAGTACCAAGGTCCAACACATTTAATCCTCCTTAAGGCCTCTGTAAAATTAATATAATGGAGGGACTGCAATGGACTGCATTTTTTTTTACATTACATTACAAGCACGCATGTAGTAGCATTGAATAGGAAAATTCTTCTTTAGCAGAAAGAGACGTTCAGATGCATTTCCATCTTCTTTACTGGCTTCAACTGGGAAAGAAAAAACTGCAAAGTGGATTATCTCTGCGGTAGTTTTTAAGTCTAAACAGTGAGAGTTAGTCCAACAAAACACTCAACAAATTGCTATGTCTCTTTTTTCTTAATACTATTTTACAGAATAGATGGATTTATACTGTAATTAAAGTAAAGGGGACTCTATTTTCTACTTATGGAATCTATGAAATCAATAGGTTGCTGATGATTTTATAGTATTATAGTAGAGGTGGATAAATACTGATGTTTTCCAGGCAATTCAGATTTTCCCTATAAATAAATTTAAAAACAATTCCACCTACATTCCACATATATGCACCACCTTGTTTAGTTCAGCCACATTAAATCCAAGCAAAACATCAAAGGTTCAAGGGATATTAACAGTTTTCCAAGGCACTGTACTGTATGTACCGGTATGCTTATAAAAAAAACAGCTTTAACCGAATGCTCCATGATCACCTTATAGACTTTTAAGTTGACATTGAAATGTCATCAATAGAGCAATAATACTTCAAGAATATCAGTTTTATGTTTATGTATATAAAAAAGTATAAACTATGAAAAATAAAACAATACATGTATAAATAAGCAAAACTTAAAGTTTATTTAATGCAGTAACTCATTTCAATAACTGAAATGCATTATGTAGATTGATTACCTCTGATACGATTGATCTATATATATATATATATATATATATATATATACATAGCTAATATATAGCCTATATATCCCCTTGCCCTTAATCCCAAACTAGACAGAATGTAGACAGTGGTGGATGATTTAGTTACATGCCATCCTGATTGCAGTTTACAGACAGTTTTATTTGCCTTTTTAAGATACAGTTGAGTAACCAAGTTTAAAATTCACAGACAGATACTCAAGTATCTTGAGGACAACAAAGCAGAACAACAAAACACTTTTAAGCAATTATGTTCAGTGAGAGTTGTTTTGGATGTGGTTATAATATGCATGGTCAGTCTTTTCAAAGTTCTCCTCATTTCAAGAGTAAGATAATATTAGGTATCAATCATTTCAGCTTTAAGGTGTGCAAATTTTGACGTTCAGGTATTTCAAACTTCAACACATCAGTGCAGAACTATTTACTAAATGAAGAAAAATGTGTCTTTGTGTTTTTTTTTTGTTTTTTTTTTTCCAGATAAAAAGCGTTCTTGTCTGTCTTGATAATCAAAGCTTTTGTATTGTGTGCTTTGGCAGCCAGTCTCATCGCATGTGTCTGTTGGTGTGTAGTTAGATTGTGCTGTCCAGTTTGGACGGGCCAAACCACTCATTTTCCTCACTTTATAATCCCTCAATATAATTTAAAAAACGATCTCTCATTAGTTCCCTATTTATATGTTTTTGCTTAAACTTTATTTTTCACATTTTTTAAAATGCGTGCAAGGTTTCATTGTTATTTACTAGGATTATTTTTCTGAGGTTCTGCATTTTACCTTTATCCTTAATAAGAAGAATACATGTAGCAATTATTATGAAGTTTTTATGTACACTCTATCTTTTGCTTTAAAGATTTTGTACTTATAAATCATACAAAACACAGTGACGAAAAGAAGTGTTTGAAAATCATGGAGGGGTCTAAAATTGTCATTGTAGGTGTATGTCCACTCTGAGAGATGTTATCTAACAAAAAAAATCCCAAAAAATAAAAATTTACTATTTATTTGTATAATACAGCTGCAAATAATTGAAAGTATTTGAACACCTGAGAAAATCAATGTTAATATTTGGTACAGTAACCTTTATTCTGTAACTGCAGAGGTCAAATGTTTCATGTAGTTTTTCTCCAGGTTTCCACACTCCGCCGGAGGAATTTTGGCCTCCTCCTCCACACAGATCTTCTCTAGATCAGTCAGTGTTCTGGGCTGTCGCAGAGAAACACAGAGTTTTAACTCCCTCCAAAGATTCTCTATTGGATTTAGGACTGGAGACTGGCAGGCCATGCCAGAACCTTGATATGCTTCTTACAGAACCCCTCCATGGTTATCCTGGCTGTTTGCTATGGGATTGTTGTCATGTTGGAAGACCCAACCTCAACCCATCTTCAATGCTCTAACTGAGGGAAGGAGGTTGTCATCCAAAATCTTGCAATACATGGCCCTGTCTATCCTCTGCTTAATACAGTGCAGTTGCACTGTCCCATGTGCAGAAAAACACCCCCAAAGCATGACGCTGCCACCCCCATGCTTCACAGAAGGGATGGTGTTCTTGTGATGGTACTCATCAATATTCTTACTCCAAATGCAGTTAGTGAAATTATGACCAAAAAGTTCTATTTTGGTCTCATCTGACCACATGACTTTCTCCCATGACTCCTCTGGATCATCCAAATGGTCATCGACAAACTCAAGACGGGCCTTGACATATGCTGGTTTAAGCAGGGGAACCTTCCGCTCCATGTATGATTTCAAACTATGATGTCTTAGTTTCAGATCATTAACCAGCTCCTCCCATGTTGTTCTGGGCTGATTTCTCACCTTTCTTAGAATCATTGAGACTTCACGAGTTGAGATCTTGCACAGAGCCCCAGTCCGAGAAGATTGACAGTCATGTTTGGCTACTTCAATTTTTTAATGATTGTTCCAAAAATGGACCTCTTTTTACAAAGCTGCTTGGCTATTTCCCTTTAGCCCTTTCCAGCCTGGTAGAGGTGTATGATTTTGTCTCTAGTGTCTTTGGACAGCTCTTAGGTTTTGGCCATGTTAGTAGTTGGATTCTTACTGATTGTATGGAGTGGACAGGTGTCTTTATGCAGCTAACGACCTCAAACAGGTGCATCTAATTAAGCATTATCAATGAAGTGGAGGTGGACATTTTGAAGGCAGACTAGCAGGTCTTTGAAGGTCAAAATTCCAGCTGATAGGTGTTCAAATACTTATTTGCAGCTGTATCATACAAATAAATAGTTAAAAAGACATAAGCTGTGAATTTATTTTTAGATTATGTCTTTCACAGATGACAAGTTCAGACCCTTCAATGATTTCTAAGTGGAAGAACTTAGTAAAAAGCAGAGTGTTTAAATACTTATTTTCATCCACTGTAAATGCAAAATATAGACCTAGCAAAATTATTTAAGCCCCTTAATTTTATTATGATTTAATGTTATAGACCAACATTTTTTTTCCACATTACATGTAATGCCTTATTTATATGGAACAGCAAACATTAAGAGAATAAGAGTAAGAGAATTTAAAAAATACTTATGGAAGGCAGTGTAAAAAAAAAAAAATAGGTTTTACAGACTTTTAAGATTTTATTATTCTTAGTAGATAGCCATTACTCCTCTCTTCATTTAGGTTGTTTATAAAATAATATATATTTAAATTAACTTTATTTTTATTTGGAGCGGCAAATAATTTCGGATTTCAGCCACAGAGAAGCCCCTGCAAGGTAGTAATAGTCTGGAAGATATATGACAAAAACAAATCACCTAATTTCCTTAAAACAATCAACTCAGCGTC